CTTCCTTCCTTCCTTCCTTACGAACAGCAATTCAATAGCTCACCAGAGTTAACATAACAAATGAAAGTTTTTCCCATGACTTACCAAAGAATGTGTAGGGAGTCACCGCAACTCGAAGAGTGTTCGGCATTGAATCAGAAAAAGATTTGCAATACTCCTTCCTAAAACAGCTCACCATGTAGCAACTACTCTCTACTAAAAAGGCGATTTGCCCCGCTTTTCGGTTGCAGGATTCTCGTATACACTGAGGCATTGTTTTAGCCCAGTCGATAGCGGTGAATACACCAGCGTTTATACCATGCGTTAGGGTGACATTGTGTATTGTATCACCGGGCATGCAGATGATTGTAGATCTTGGATCGTCTGAAAACATAATGAAATACATTGCTGAAATGGGGAAAATCTGAATTAGATTTATCCTTTCCCATTTTAGAGACTTCATCACTATAAATAGCAAGTACTCTATTCATGAAAAACTGCACCTTAAATTTAGACAGCAAACATGGTGCATTGTGGTCTAGGTTGGGTAAAACATCTTTTTGCCTTGTTTGGTACTCCTGGTACCCAAGCTGGACTAGAATGCACCCTGTTCATCAATGTAATAAATAGAATGGGGTTTAAGATAATAGGGAATATTAAATTGCACCGATGTGTATGTACTTACTTATAATTGAACATTCGGACAACAAAAATAGAGAACAGAATAGAAACAGCAAAGTGTTGAGGATCTCTGGAGGAGAAAACATCTTGACAAGCTTTTTTCTATAGAAAAATAGGAGAAGAAAAAAAAAAGACAAGTTTAAAATTGGATGAGAAACGGATGGATGGATGGATGGATGGATGGATGGATGGATGGATGAATGGGATAGATAAATAAAACGATTGATTATTATATAAGGTATTATTGAGGAACAATGAGAAAGATAAATATTATATAAATGTACAATAGTTCCTCGTATTCTTGGAACTATTTCAAAACGAAACGAAGCGGTGGCAAACTACCCCATTCAACATTAATGAGAACAATTAATATTAATCAATATCACAAACACCGATATTAGCCATATCAATTTCATCATTATCATTTATCATCATTTTCAAATACCAACATCATTGTTGTATACTTTTACTATTTTTTTTTCTTTAAATAATAATCAATATTTTTGGCGGTACTATCTTCTAATTTCAGACCATTTGTCGTTCCTTGAAATTAAGATTCTTCACGTTTCAAGTATCAATCATTATCGTCAAAGCAAATAATTGTTTTTCGAGGTAATGAAATGTGGTCTAAAATATAAAGCATTTCACCCATGCTGCAAAAACCCTTTCTTTGGCAAAAGAATAATTTATTTCGATCCAACGCCTGGAGAGAGTAGGTTGTTAAGAAGATTAAATAGAATACATTAAAAAACTGTTTGAAAACACAATATCATTGAAAAACCGCTTCCTATCTCACCACCACGACATAGAAATTGTTTTAGCAACATTGGAATCGAGTCACAAAAGAAAGAAAAAATTTTAAAATTTATTCGCTAAGAACTTAAGCATTTAATTCTCGCCATGATGTTAGTGTAAAGTTAGTGCGATGCTAAGTAGTCCTTGCTTGTCATAGAACACTCTACTGTGTTGTCTTCAAACTGAAAAGCTTTAATTTTCAACTCAGTGCCCAGGCGATAAAGTGCTTTGATTTTAAACGAGAATGCACTTGGATCCCGTGGTGAAGTTTAAAAATTCAAGTAAATTGTTAATGATGCATTCATGTACTGACTCTCGGAAAATTAACCTACTTATTGTATGTGCTATACACAGAGTGAATGACTGCCAATAGTTTATCTTAATTAAAATCAACATTTTTTCAGAAATAATAAAAAAATGATATTACAAATAACTTTGAATTTGGCGAAAAATTTATTCTACGACAACTACTATTGAACTAAGTTTTTAAGATTATAGAATCAAAATAATGATAGCTTTTGGTTATCTAATCTTGCAGATCTTTACTTAGAACATAAGGGCTGCATAAAGAATGCCAAAATATTTGGTAAGAAGTTAAGCCAAGAAAAACAAAAGGTTAAGTATATCTAAAGACGAAATTCTTTAGGATACACTTAAATAAAGTAAGCATATATGTTTATATTTTATTATAATCGAAAGATATTTATATATTTTTGAATAACGACGCTTACTTTTACCTTGGTGCGAAGATTTTCCTCGAAGACAACGTTAATTTTTCGAATCCAAACTTTCTATGTTTTGCTTTCCAGAAATCGTTAGTTGGTATAAGCATCTTTTGAGTAGGTTGGTGGTTATGTATCCGAATGGTTAGCTTAATTAGGCTTCTGGTTTCATTTCTTGTTTAGGAAGCTCAAGTGAGATTGAAGGACTATTTGTTTTCCATCGTGGAAGCTTTGTCTTGAAGACCTTATTTCCATTATACATATCGAAAGAACTCTAGATATTTTTATCGATGTTTTGAAGATGAATTTAGCTTGCATTACAATCGTTAAACCACTCAATAACCGAGGTTCACCAACCACAGCTCGACAAAACACCTCGGTAATTCTTTTAGCCAATCACAGCACTTTAATCGGAATCAGTTTATTTGACACAGTATTATTTATAGTTTAATCGACCGCATGTTAACTTACCGCCGAACAAAAGGTATATATACCACACCGATACTACACATGAATCGTAATAGCACAGACAAATCTAATTTCACAACGAACTCGATGTTTACCAACCTATATATATCTGAATTAAACGTAAGTCCAAATTGAAAACTAGCCCTCAATTTTTCTTTCTTCAATTCTTATTTTCCTTTTTTATATTTATAACTTTTCTTTATTTAGCGTAATTTAGATTAATCATAATGTTTCTACTGATGCATTTCAAAACCAGGCGTAGTAAATAGGGTGTTCAAACGGTATAGGTCAAAGTAGAGCAACATACATACCTAACTAATCTATACACGTGTACAAAAAACGTTTTAGGGATGTTCGGCTAGGGTGTTCCTCAAGGCTCTATATTTGGATAGCGCAGCAACAGATTTCTAATAACTCTAATATACATGGATATTAAAATTAAAGAAGAGATGTTTCTCAAGGGTTCAATTCCGACAGATCCTTTATTTCTTGATTTATGCAAAAAGTACGTATACGTTATAACTCCTAATGAAGGATTGCTTGACTAAGATGTTTCTCAGGGTTCTAAGTCCTAACAGGACCACAAACTTTTACTACGTTCAACCGATGTACTAAAATAGGCACATCCTATTAATATTCTGAAACTAGAAAGAAAGAAAGAAAGATAGATAGATAGATAGAAAGAAAAGATATCATTCTTCAACTTGTTCAGTTTTGTTTTGATGAGCCCTTTTCAGTTCAAAACTGTCAACACGGTTAATAACTATCTTGTCAACAATATATGCCTCTTAACGATGACCAACTCRAAAATTTAGAATTGAAATATTGTCTCCAAATATGCATGTCGTCCTTTCTTCTATCTCTCTTTTATATTCTAATCTGTCTCGTCCACAATAAATATTAGATGTTGGAACTATTATTGATTTTAATGCTATACTTCAATCTTGAAAAGACTAGAACAGCCATAGAGTATATTATATATATATATATATCGATATTACAGCACTATGTTTATAACCATTGCCAATCATATAATTATAATAACTGTTATAAATCTCGCTTTTTGATTGGTTGAGAGTGCGTGATTTATTAGAGCACATAGCACATGCGCACTTTCTATTTTTTAATTCGTGTCTAAAATAAAAGCTATTATAATTTGTTATAATATCACAAAAAAGAAAAAAAACTTGCTTGCTGTGTTGTGTGCAGCTATAAAGTACTTTGGAATTGGCAGAACTCTCCACGCACCTTGCTTCTTCGGCCAAAACTTCTCTCGTGTTCTGCCAATCAACGCGTGCTTTAATAACACACTAATTAGTGGTACGTGAGTAATATTTAGTTTTTATTTACGTGTAATTTCAACAGTAGTCTAAGCTTTTGTGCTTATAAAAATTACCGTACACTTCAACTAGCAACAAAAACATCAGAGAATCACTTTGGCTTTATATCTAAATAATTTGGTACATTTTCCACAAGACACCTGCTTGAGTACATACCGTTGAGAACGAAGTTGTTAATAACGTATGAGATACGATACAATACTAGCGCCTCTAAACCTTGTTGGTGTAGTAAAATCATTTAATAAGATATGAGATTCGTCGTATGCGTTACTCGTTGCTTACATCTTATTCTTTGAGACATACTTCTTTTAAACATAGATTTCTTAAATAAACATTTTGTGGAAATATATAATCACCGAATTGAACATTGTACGATATTTTAATTTCATTTTTCAAAAATAGGCTGAAAAAATGTTTTACCTTAATTTTGAATTTTTCTAGCTAGAAGGAAAATTTTAAACTTTTTTTGACATTTTTTACGAGTTTACTTGCAAAAGAATACGAATAACACGTCACGCGTTTTGTCACGTCATGCTGTATACAAGTCATGCCATAGTTCGCAGGAGTCACGCTCGATTTGAAAACGTTGCAACTGTCAAATTATTTTACTACCACTACCAAAATGCTTCGCGAATTTTCCTTCTTATTCAAATTTGTATTTCCTCATGAGAATAGTAAGACAGTTGGTGCTAATTAACTAAACAACATAAAGTACGCAAGAGATTCTGGTAGTGGTAGTAGTAGCAAATGATGCTATAATGCAAATGACCTTTCATTAATCATTAATTATTTGACAGAGGTTATGCTTTAATTGGCTTTATGAGGGTTAGAGTCGTTTGTGATACCTTTTGCAAGAGACACCCCATGTTTTCCCAATAGCCCACTTCCGAGATATGCTTCACTTGTCACGCACAAAGGTTTCAGTATGAGGCTACGTGCTAAATGCTCAGTCGTTCGTGACAGGCGGTAAGAATAAATTTAATTTAGTACGTAGCCTCATACTGAAACCTTTGTGCGTGACAAGCGAAGCATATCTCGGAAGTGGGCTATTCAGACCACATTTCATTCCTTAGAGTATCATTTCTTTGTTTAACAGTTGTGCATGAGAAGAGACGTGAATATGGATACAATTTAAACAAAGAATCTTATTCTCAACTGAGTGACACGTGGTCTGAAATGGAAAATCATTACGCCAAAGCTAAAGATGTCTGTTTAGATAAAACTCATTTATGGACTTATTAGAACAAAGTTTGGAAAACATAATGCTAAACAGACAAGAATGCATAGCCGCTAGAAAATGCTTGTAAAGTGGAGGCGGCAACCAAAAGCGTTTGATTTAGTCGACTACTGATAGCCTGATCGAAGTCAGGACACTATCAGCGCGACGTATTGAACATGCATGCGACAAGGTGGTGCACTGTGTTATCTCCTGCACGTCGCACGCGACAAAACAGAAACGTGATGGACACAGTGGCGCACATGTCGCAAGCAATGTCCACGTGTGTCCATGCCTCTAAACTTCCTAATCAAAAGTGGATAGAAATACAATGCGATTGGAACTATCAAACTGAATATATTTCTAGTAATGTTACACTGACTTAGTTACAACATTCATATATGTTTTTTATCAAAAAGGGAACAATACTACCCATGTGACTAAACAGCTATTTCAAAAAAGTTGGTAAAGTTTTTGATGAATGCTGCATTTTACAGGTTCTACTTTATTTAACAGTTATTCACCGAAGGCGAAGTGAATATCGGGGAATAATAACCGAAACGAAGTTGAGGTGAATAATTGTTTTAGTATAAATACACAGGTGGTTTTCTTTCAAAAAAAGAGAGAAAAAAAAAA